GAACACTTGCATACGACAAGCTTGGGGGGCGGCATGGAAAGTAAGAGACGATGGTGATTGGTTGTCGAATGGATCTGGGATGTGGATTGGCAAAAGTGAGTGGCCGATGTCAAGGTTGTCTTCAGTGAACCAGTGGCTGGCGTCAGGCCCGGGGTTGACAACCCCGTGAAATTTGGCTTACGTCACACCGGGGCCAACCCGTGGCTTTCGTCACGGTGGCGCGAGCCGGGCTCACGCCACCGTTTTTCCCGCAGTGTAAGCTCAAAGTGACAAAAAAGTTGTCCCAACAGTGGCTTGAACACTGGACCTTCAGATTAACCTGGACTTTAATCAACTTCAGTCTGACGCTCTCCCAACTGAGCTATTGAGACACGTGATCTGGACCTGCGAGGTGCAACCCAGAAAGAAATCTCACTTCAACACCAGCGGGACAGCGGGCGGAGGTTAAAGCAAAAAGTGCTAACAAGGAGTGAAACGGGCGAATGAGGGAAAGTGAGTCTAGGTGAAGTTTTGACAAGCCACGCCGGTGATGGCAGAGAAGTTTAGGGCCGGTCATCAATCAACGCGGCGTTCAAGTGAGTGGGCAGGTGTTTTGGTCAAGTTTTAAATGAGACGATGAGTAGAATGTGAATTTGTGCTGTTGAGGAGAGAGCATGTGTAATCGAACATCTAGTTGACCTCGAAACGGATGCACACTGCTCTGGAGACGAAGAGTCAGCTACCAGCCCTCCAGAGTTTGATGTTAGCAGAAAGAGGCAGAGAAGGTGCCGCAGGAAAGCCTTTTCGAACTTCCGGACATGGTTGACATTGCTCGAGGATTGTCATGAGGCAGTGGAAGGAGCGGCGAGAAAAAAATAGGACTTGCGAGTTTGAAGGTTGGGGTCTATCGGGCTGTGTCGAATCAGGTATCCGAATCTCCGAACATACGGTTGTTGGCAGGGTCCTGAACGAGAGTGGAAGCATGAGAGAACCGAGTGAAGCGGTGGCCATCAAGATCCGTCGTATCTCGGGGTAACCTCAAGCTCGATGTTCTTGATGTCGAGTAGATTGGGGATGGTTTGGGTGAGGGTGGGTGATGAAGTGTGAGAGAGGTTGACTTGGATGAGTTCTGTGGTTTGATGTCAGAGTACGTTTTCGGATCACCCACCCCACTACCATGAAGTCACCCTCGATCGGACTCAGACCGGCCCTTCGACGCTCTTTCCAACACCACTCGCTCCTCGCACCCGTCCATCTCTCGACTTCCCTCGACCCTTACTTCAATCTCTCTTATGAAGACTTGTGAGTCCTTATCATTTTGTCTCCACGCGAATAAAGGCCTGATTGCTTCCCAACCCAGTCTGTTCAGAACCACAGATCCAGCTGTGCCCAAACTGCTAATCTATCGAAACTCGAAGAGTGTCATCATCGGTCGGAACCAGGTTCGAGAGTCTTGCGCTACTCCCCTTCGTCTTATTCACAGACCTACCAGATGGCTTAGCTTAACCCTTCAAAAAAACTGCTGCAGAATCCGTGGACGGAGGCCAAGGTCGAGAACCTGAGAAAGCACGATGTCCCACTCATTCGTAGGTGGAGCGGGGGCGGGACGGTGTACCATGTTCAGATACCCTCTCTCTTTTGCTCGTGTATGTCATCCCAAGCCTAATGTGATCAACTTGGTTTAAAAGGACGAGGGCAATACGAACTACTCGATCATGATCCCGCGGGGGATGTTCGACCGCAAAGCGACTGGCGAGCTCGTCGTACGCGCTCTTCGATCCATAGGACTGCCCAACATCCGCCTTAACCAGCGCCACGACATCTGTCTAGGACTCGATAAGGTTTGGTCTTGCAACTCTCGGCATGTTCACTTGATTGTTTTGGTGATCTGTCTCCTAAGGATGTTTATGGAGTCAGGTCTCGGGCTCGGCCTACAAGCTCACGCGCGAGCGTGCTTACCATCACGGCACGATGCTCATCAACTCTGACCTAACAAGCCTGCACGAACTCCTCCATCCCTCTCAGGTAGGTCCAGCTTTATCAGCAGTTCGCTTGTCGATCTTCGTGTCTGGGCTCACCTCTCAAACTTGTCACGCAAACCAGGCCGGAATTGTGTCCAAAGCCACAGACTCAGTCAGGTCGCCAGTCACGAACCTCCGTAGCGTTACGCCGGCTCTGACCCACTCCGCTTTCGCTGAAGCACTTGCTCAAGCTTTCTTGGAGACATACCATAATAACTCACCGGACCCATCACCCCACGTGCGTTGGTTACTTCTTTAGCTCTTGTGCAGTATAGAACGCGTCATGAGATTGTCATGGACACAGTTAGTCGTTCGGGATCAATTCGAGGGCCAGAGTGTGATTGAGGAGGGGATGAAGGAGCTTCAGGTTTGGACGACTTTCACCAGTTCCCGTATATCTGCGGCGCTGGGGTACTAATTGTTGGGAACAGTCTTGGGAATGGACCTTCGGCCAGACACCCGAGTTCTCTCACATGCTTTCCGCCCTTGTATGTCCCATCACTCTGCTGTCGCACAGCTCGAGCTCATCTTGTGCTCTTACAGGGCATCCGGATCCACGTCCGCCATGGCAAGATCAACGCTGTCGATGTGCCCGACTCACCTTCTCACGAGCACCGGCTCCAGGCTGCACTCGTTGGGATGCGGTACGGAGAATTTGAGGGTGGCCTAGAGGAAGCGCTCGTGCGCCGACTGATGAAAATTCGAGAGGACAGACTCTGACACCCCCAGTTTCCTGTTGCGCGAACAAATTTCTACTGTGTGATCTTTTTTGTGTCTTCATTTCACGGCCTGCAGCGCTACAGCCACACTCCTGCCCTCGTCAACCAAGAGATTGTAAGTTGACGCAGCGTTACGCTACAAGCAGCTCATAGATGTATCAGTATATGTGGTATGGTGTGCAAAGAAGAGAGAGATAGAGACAGACGCTATCGAGCACGCTGAGCTGAATTCCCAGCGAGTGGACCCAAGTGCGGATATTAGGGTCAAGAGGAGTGAGCCGGCTACCCGTCCCGATAATCAAAAGATCTACATTCCTCGATCAGTCTCCTTTGACTTTTCCAACGAAACAGGGAGACGGAAGTACCTGGACGAGGATGAATGATTTGAAATAGTTGGAGTGAATCGAGCGAGATGCCGGTGGATTTCCATAGCAGCGGAGGGCAGGAGGGGGAGGGGATGAGTAGGTCTTGTTGAGGAACCAGATGGACCTCGTTGGAAAGCTTGAGGTGGGTGGGCGTGATGGAGTTGATGAGGACGGGCTCAGTAAGAGCAGCAGTCGTGAGAGGTCGGGAAGGGTGGACTTGAAAAGGGTGGGTGAGGGTCTTCTGGAGGTCAACTCTGAGGCTTCGAGCGAGGATGGTCATCGGTAGAAAGGCCATCGTTGAGATGCTGGCAAGTCTGGTCAAAACTGGATGCTGGAGGATCGAAAGTCAATGGTGGGTCAAACCTGTTCTTGACACGGATCGGATCGGATACCAGCAGAGAACCTTAAAGTCATGTATGTCCCCACCATCAACAAGTTTGAGTCAGATGAATGCGTTTAACTCAACATTGGTCAGCTGCAGACTTAAGGTGAATGCATCTGACTCAACATCAGATGCCTTTATCCAGTACAACTATGCTCATATCCAAGATCCCCCCGCCCCTGAATATAGGCTTATTGTATTGGAGGAACATGTCCAATGATGAGTCAGAAAGATCTGTTCAATCCAACTTTATGGGTGGTGTAACTTTTGCACCTCAACCACTTCAAGGTTCTGTAAGCCTCTCTCTGATGGGTCTGATTTTTTATAAACCATGCATTAACCATTCAACAAAATTCAAAGACCATACAAAACTGTTATGACACAGGGGTGTCACAGAGGAGTCACGACTGCGGCACAGCGCGTTGGTGATGAGCTTTAAGCTCCCGAGACGGGATAGATTCCACATCATCATTGTTGGAGTCTATCCATCTCGGTTCTGCGCACACTAAGTCTTCTCTCGTATTCGTACGCGGTCACGTTGCTTTAGGTTATTGAGCCTGCGCTACTGCTGACCGCCCATCAGTAGTTTCTTAGCGACTCGAACGACCAAACCGACGCCGCCACTGTCTGGTATGCCCTGCCAGCACTCACCGAAAGAAGATAAGAGTAAGACGCACAGCCGAACGACGTCGGAGGAAGCTTCACCTCCGGGACGCCAACAGCGCAATACTATAGAGTTCGGTACACCTACTACGTCGAATGTAAGCCGACAATGAGGATCGACCGCTAGTTATCGACGCCCGATAGAATTATCACCCGATTCGCCAGACGAAACCGTAACAGTTTTCGAACGTTTAAGAATGTCAACCCCGACGGACGCCGTAACCGCCGGAGAACCGACGATGAAGCTAGAAGCGGACCCCACGAGGCCGCCACGCGATATCAACGACGAAGATGACTTGCTTTGCAAAGAACTTTACCATAAACTCAAGAATATCGGCAAATATAACCAGGAAGTCGAACACCTCGAACATGACGGAGCGAATCTCACATGATGGAAAGCGAGAACATCCACCGCCCTGTTTTTAATGACAGGGGTCGCTAGGTACTGGGATACCTGTAAGCCAACCTTCGAATCGACTGTAGACATCGCAATCGATAAGTGCGCCATTCGGATGATCTACTCGACCGTCCACACCAAACTTCGGGACACGGTCGACTTATACACCTGCGCCCATGACATCGTGGCAGCCTTCGACAAGCGGTTCCGAAGAGGCGGCCGCACGGCGCAGATGGCAACCTTCCGTAGTTTATGCCAAAAGACTTTTGACCCGACGACTACACCCCTTATTGACCTTGTACAAGAGGTGTGCGACGAGATGGAGAGAATGGAGCGAGACAGTTTTCAATGGACGAGGGACGAAATACAAGCCATGTTCATTCAATGAGTGGGACCCGTGTCCGGACCGTATTCGATGGAGTCGATCAATACGACGCTGGACATGAAGTATAAAGCGAGCCCGGGTCCATTCAACACGACGGACATCACGGCGGAAATGCAATCGCTGATTACTAACAGATCGATTGCATTACAAGCCGACTCGAACGTCCAGGTTTTGTCGGCCGCCAGGATATCCAGCCAACAAAACCGATTTCGCCCGAATCCGATGCTGAACTCGAGCTTGATCAATAGATCGCTGGTTTCAAGAGCACCGAAGCCGATTACGGCGACGCCAGAGGAACGCGACCGATCGTGGCGTAACCCGATACCTATACCTAGAGGGGCTGCGAGCGGTGTTCATAATAGCGAGGAACAATGCTTTTGGTGTGGGGGTTTCGGACACTCACAAGACTCGTGCAGGAATCGTCGCATAGGCCGATCGCGGACTGCGATGCACTGGAACG